AAGCCGTGCGGAAGTCTTTCTCCATGGCCTCTCCGAACTCCTCCCATGCCCGAGTTTTTGCCTCAGCAACCACCTTGCTGAGGTGGTTGCTGAGGCATGTCGCTTGGACTCCCGATAACCATCAGCTGCTTCCGAGGTCCCACAGGCCAAAAAGGCCCGATAGGACTCCTTCTTCAGCCTGACAGCATCCCTCACCGACGGTGTCCACCATCGGGTTTGAGGGTTGCCGCCGCGACAGGCACCGACACTTGCGGCCGCAGCTCTGGTAAGCCGCCTCGACAATAGAGGCACGAAACATGGTCCACTCAGACTCAATGTCCCCCACCTCCCTCGGAACATGTTCAAAGTTCTCCCGGAGGTGGGAGTTGAAACTCCGTCTCACAGGAGACTCTGCCAGATGTTCCCAGCAAACCCTCACAAGACGTTTGGGTCTGCCAGGTCTGACCGGCATCCTCCCCCACCATCGGAGCCAACTCACCACCAGGTAGTGATCAGTTGACAGCTCCGCCCCTCTCTTCACACGAGTGTCCAAGACATGTGGCCGCAGATCAGATGAGACGATGACAAAGTCGATCATCGAACTGCGGCCTAGGGTGTCCTGGTGCCAAGAGCACATATGGACACCCTTATGCTTGAACAAGGTGTTCGTTATTGACAATCCATGATGAGCACAGAAGTCCAACAACAGAACACCACTCTGGTTCAGATCAGGGGGGCCGTTCCTCCCAACCACACCCCTCCAGGTCTCACTGTCATTGCCCACATGAGCATTGAAGTCCCCCAGCAGAACAAGGGAGTCCCCAGAAGATGCACTTTCCAGTACCCCCTCCAAGGACTCCAGAAAGGGTGGATAAACTGAACTATCTGAACTGAATATATATATATATATATATATATATATATATATATATATATATATATTTATTACAGTAGTCCCTCGTTTATTACAGATGTTAGGTTCCAGCACCACCCCCTGCTGCCACAATAAGTGAAAAATAAGAAGTAGGTATAATAGAACAAGAGAAGAGAAGCAGGACAGCAAAGGGTTAACCCTTCACACAGCAAATACAGCACGGAGCAGAAATGTACTTCTTGATCATTTACACTGTAACAAATGAACATAGAAGTTCTAAAATAATTAAAAATAAGTTTTAACACTTTTATATTTTGTGATTATGACGATTTTACAATGTGACATACTTTGAATTATAAGTTGGAAGACAAAAGTCGATCAGTTCATCCGGACAGTAAAGGGTTAACCCTTCACGAAGCTGCTGCAGCAAGAGGAGAAATACAGGAGGGAGCTTCTCCCTGCACCTGTGGGCTGCACACAAGTGCAGCAGGTGCTAATTATCAAAATATATATATTTTAAATAAACAAACCATGCCGATCGTGCGGCTCATCCATCACTCAGCCAGTTGTTTCTCATGTCCAATCTTACTTTGAAAAACTATTAATGAGCGAGTCCATGAAAGTTAAACTTAAAAAAAGGACTATTGTACCTCATTACATATGAAGGACTGCTCCTAAACAACAATCTCTACAAATAGTTGGGGGGTTAAATAAATATTTAAAAGGCTTTATAATGGTTTACAATATTTTTTTACTCATGTCTTTTGTTGCTAACCTTTCCCGTGCTTTTTATATTTAAATCATGAATTGAAAAAAAAAATTTTTTTACCTCCCTCTTCCTCCTCCTGTCAGTCCCTGGTCACCTGCGATCCTGTGGACGTCCGTAACGCACGTAATGCTGTGCTCGAGACGCTGCCGCACATGCTCAGCACCATGGCGTTGTTTTGGGGCGTGATCATGAGGGAGGAGGGTCATCGGCGAACGTCTGACTCCGCCCAGAGCAGCAGACACATTTCTACCTCTGTGTATTTCAAATCCACCAAGGTATGCATGGAGATGTGGCATTCATGCTGTGTGTGTTTGTTAATCCTGTAATGTGTTTTCATTTATCATATATTATCACATATGGTTATAGAAAATTTGTGGGGTCCTTTGATCTGTACTTTATTAGATTTTGCGACAGAGGATACTGGAGTTTCTGCTCCCTTTAACTGGAAATTATGGGGTTCAGCTGTTGGCTTCAGTGGGAGTAGTATGGAACAATAGGAGGAGCAAAAGAAGACATAAAGACAAAGTAAGAACCTCCATGTATGATTTTAAAATAAAAAAAACATCTTACACTTACTATTTTTAGAGCACATTTTTGGGTCTTTAAAATCTGGTTCTCTTTAGGTGTTGCCTGTGGCCAGCGAGTCTCGCCTAGTCGTTGTGGAGCTGGTGAAATGTTTGAACACTTTGAACACAGAAACTATCTTGCAGCTGGTCAAAGAGGTTGTGAAGAGACCGCATCAGATCAGAGGAGAACGGGTATGCGAGCACGTACAGGTAAAAAGGTAAAAAATATTTACTTTAGATAAATGAACACTTAAATGTTTGACTTTTGCCTTCATCAGAAGTCGACTCTGGTTGATATTCCTGTGTTACAGTTCAGCTATGCCTACATCCAAAGGTACGTGCAAATATTTGCTCATGTTAGCTAATTTATTTTTTCCTTTGTTGATCTTCAGTCATTTCTGTATCTATGCAGTATTCCAGCACAGGCTCTGCAGGAAAATGTTGCTCCTCTCCTCTGTCTCTTACGGGAATCTGTCCAGCTAAACATGGCCCCTCCTGGACATTTCTTACTGCTGGGGTTGGTCCTTATCTTAAACCACATGAATATATTAATTGGCTCACTGATGTAAAATTTCTACTGATGTTAAAAAAACTTGTTGCAGAATCCTGAATGACTTTGTCAATCGGCTCCCCAACCTGGACAGTAAGAAGGACACCAGGGATCTGCAGGTAAGGTGTGATCATCTGAGGTCTGAGATCAAAAGAAAGTGCAGGATATCTGATACATTACTTCACAGGAGGTGACTCAGAAGATCCTGGAGGCAGTGAGTGGAATTGCAGGCTCATCTTTGGAGCAAACCAGCTGGCTCAGCCGCAGCCTGGAGGTCAAAGTGCAGCCGCAGGTGTGCCCAGACGTAGACGAGCCGGATGATGCAGATGTGGATGGGGATCACTGTGGTAACTTTTAAAATAACTTGTGACACATAAAAACACAGTACACGAAGACTAACACTGTTGTGGTGCCAAGAATTGGATCTCTTCTCAAAAAAATTATTTTTGAGAGAAAACAAAAGACGCTTGCTCACAGTTTTGTCACTCTTTCAAGACATTTCAACATTTGTTCATTCATTCAACCTTTATTTATACAGGTTAGTTCCAATGAGCCTCAAGGACTCATTTACAAGAGAGAAATTTTACATGCAGATAAAGTGGATGAGGAAAAGAGAACACGAGAGGGTGGAGGAGGTTAAAAAAAAAAAAAGCAATATCTCACACCATGTCCTGGCTGGGAACAGTGTGAAAGTTGGAAAAAAAAAAAAAAAAAAGACCTCGCAACATAAAAAGCAACATACAATGACACCAAAATACATTTCTGCATGAGGAGGTCAACAATGGTGGTGAGTTGTCCGTGGACACTGCCAGAAAGTTCCATAGTTCTGATTAGATGGTACAGTATCTATCAGCAGCTCAGTTCTGATCAGGCTCACAGATGTCCTCGGGAAAGGGGGGTAGGAGGAGCAGAGGAACAGCAGAGTGTCATTATTCACATAAACTCTGGGAGAATTTGAGATAACTGGCCTATTCAAGGCCAAGCGGGGAAGCCAGATTTGATAACAACATATGTTTTGGGACAGGCAGATTCTGCTTGATTTTTTAAAATTTTTTTTATTTCTGCCTTCAAAAGTTCTGCTGGTACTTCTCAATGGCGAATCCAAAACAGTCAGATTTGTGGTCTTTCTGCCGGGCCGTGCTTGTAGCCTTCCCCAAGGTCTAATCCTTCACACCCAACGAGTTCCAGAAGCCGCAAGTGGCCTGCGATTCTCAGAAATCGCGTCCAGCTTACTCCTTAGCTCGAAAAGCAATTGAGTCTGGGCGTTGGAAGCACAGAACAGTTTTTCACACATGGCAGGCAGCTTCAAAATTGCCAGATCCGCTGCTAACGTCTTCCAAATTTGTTGATAAGCCAGAAACCCGCCGACTCCAAAAAGCAGAAATCCTGCTATCGTAAATCAAATTGTGTATGCATCTTCTACGTCAACTGACAATACAGAGACGCACCATCTTCCGCTGGCTCCAGGAATCCATGGTGTATCCCAAAACAAATGTCCCTTCAGGGCATGAGGGCTCTCCTTCTCCCTGTTTTCTCGTCGAGAAAATTTTATCAGTTGCGTTGAGAGACCAGCTGACCAAATCCATGATTTACAGCTTAGAAGATGTGTAGAGAGAGGCTCTGAAAAAGGTTCATAGGACAAGAGAGCAAAAAGCAGGAGGGAGGCAGGAGCGAGTGAAGAGACTGTCTTTGTCAAGAGCAAGCAGGAAGTGAAATTAAGGGGTTTAATATAAACCCTAAGCCTGCCATTAAAAAGTTCACTAAATTAGGAATGAATCATTTATTTCTAGCATTATATTAACATGTTCCAATCGAAAATCTATCGCCAACATTAAATAAATATCACCACTTGCTCTCGCCGAGATCGGGTGTTTCTCCCCCTCCCTCTCCGCTTTGCTGCTCTGTCTGTCGGTGAAACTGCTGTGAGACTCTCTTGCATTTCTTACGAACCATAATTATGGACTTGTTTTGATCAGTTGATCCCTCAACTCAATTTACAACATTTCTTCGAAGAGAAGACAGACTTTAGGTGAGCCGATTTGCCCTGTTGGCACACACGCAGCTGGATATCTCATCGACTGGAAGACTTGATGATGTGTCTATCTCTGCTGCCATCTGTGGATTTTAAGGACGCATATTTAATTGGATTTTCGATAATGGTTCCTGCTTTTTGGATTCGGCTGGTTGCTGGTTTTATCTACAATCAAGGAAGTCGTCTGCAGCAAATTTGAACCCGATCACGCTGCTTGCCTTTATGATAGCTTGGTTCGTGTCTCGAGTACCCGGACTCAAATGCTTTGGGCTGAATGGATCAGATCTTGGGGATTTTACTCAGTCACGTTCCATCGGTGTGACCATGTACTTTGCACATTTCGAAACTGAGTGAACCAGCACAGACTTAAGGTAGATGTCATTAAGTTCTGCCTGTCCCCAAAACAACTGTGTGTTTATCTGAATTTGCCCCCCTTGGCTGGCCTTGAAGGCCACCTTATCTGAATTCGCCTGGAGAACATGTGATCTGACGCTCACCACCCCCTCCCTGAGGAATTTCCAACTGATAACCAGATGAAACCAGCTGAATAAACTTTGTGTCATCATTTCAGGACTCTTGGATTCTCATAGTTGTTATTCTTGGCCATTCCTCGACATCCCTCGAGAATGTTTATGGATCTCACCGGAGGACATTGGCTGATTATTCCATCTTTATCAGAACTCGTGACTTCGAGAGCATCTATGAACATTGCTGACCGCTCTCGTCTCCCCCGTCTGCAGAATGTCTATGTCACTATGTGCTGTTTGTGCAAGGTGTTTTTTTAATATCAGAGGGTTTTTTTTCCTCAGGCAGGAAAAAAAATAGTCTGATAGGATTTTTTTTTCGCCTCCAACTCCTACATGTGTCCAGTTAACCACTGTTTTTGTCTGTCCAAACAGGTCTCACTTGTAAAGGAGTCTTTGAGGCTCAATGTGATTTATCTGTTTAAATAAAGGTTGAATGAATGAATGAAATGTATATAGGAAAATCTCTGAACTGTAAATTAGAAAACAGAATTATTAAATGATTGTCTTTTTTTTTTTTTTGTCCTTTTTAGAGTCAGTGACTCAAGCAAATGCCATGGTGTCGTCCTCTGCTCCCTCTGTTTATAGTGTGCAGGCTCTTAAACTGCTTGCTGAGGTAAAGCTTGATCAACCTCTTATTGTTTTAGGCAAATCGTAGATTACAGTTTCTTTGTGTGCTAACGCACGGGCTTCTTGTTTAGATCTTGGCACCCCTCCTGGACATGGTGTATCGCAGTGATGAGAAGGAAAAAGCAGTTCCTCTCATCTCTCGTCTCCTCTACTATGTTTTCCCCTACCTCAAGAATCACAGGTGATCACTGATGAAGTGCCTTCATAATATTAATATTCACTTTCTTAGGGCTTACCAGAAACCTGTTCTTCGTCTTGCAGTGCCTACAACATGCCCAGCTTTGAAGCAGGTGCTCAGCTTTTGAGCAGTCTCAGTGGATATGCTTACACCAAAAGAGCCTGGAAGAAGGAGGTCTTTGAGCTCTTCATGGAACCCCTCTTCTTCACTATGGATGCCTCCTGTGCACACAAGTGAGTACGTTTATCTCTCGGATGTAAATGTTTAATTAATAGTACTCCTCAACAACCTCCTCCAGGAACATAACATGATTATAACACACCTAATGACATTTCCGTTTTATTTCTAGTTATTTAGACCTCTATATTTTAAGACCTTAAGACAATATCTGCTGTTTGTTTACCTTATTTTCTCTGTAGTTGGAAATCAATTATTGACCACCTGCTGACTCATGAGAAGACCATGTTTAAAGATTTGTTGGGTGAGAGCCACGTCTTGTTCAAAACAGTTTTTTCTCATTGTAAGAGCCTTTCTCAGATATAATACAGGCTTTGTTTGTTTTTTTGTTTTGATAAAATTAGAACCGTTTGTTAGAACAAAGCAGAAAGGCAAATGTCTAATATTATTTGTTAATAATAATTGATCCAGAAAAGAAGTTGTCTTTAATTTGGGTTTTTATGTTCCATCCATTATACAAAAAAAATGTAATCTTTCTGTCAATGTTGACTCGTAAAAATTCTATTTATTTCCCTGACAGGTATGCAGAGCAGCTCCCTGAAATTGTTCTCTAGTGCTGACCAGAAACCCATGCTGTTGAAGCGCCAGGCGTTTTCCATGTTCAGTGGCGAACTCGACCAGTATCATCTCTATCTTCCTCTTATTCAAGGTGGAGTGCTGTTATTTGATATTTGTGTTGGATAAATAAATATCCATTCATCATCCGTTTACTCAAATAAGTCACTCTGAGGACACGAGAAGATTCTTAAACCAGTCTTTACTTGCAAGGGTAGACTGTCACGAGGAAGCTTTTACAGATATGCAAAAATAACATGCTTAGAGCTGCTCAGTGAGAATCTGCGCTGGACAGAGAGGCAGAAAATGCTTTAATACACACTTGTCAGACAGAGGCAAGGTCAAGATGACCTTGGCTTTCCAGCTTACAGACGAGGAGAAGCACTTGGAGTCTATCAGTTGCTCCTCCGTGCCTGCAGGCTCCTCTCTGAGGAGACAAAAGACTCTCTGATCTCGCACACGTTTCAACATTAATTTAACATTTAGTGATAAACATCCATAACCTTTACCTGAATTCTCTCGACATTTGTTTAGATTTGAGTAATTACCATTAGTGAACTTGAAAATAAACAGATGTTAAAACTGACCCTGTTCTTCCTTTCAGAACGTCTCACAGAGACTTTGCGAACAAACTCAAGCGCAGCTGTTTTTGCCCAGATGTTTCTGATGTTTCGTGTTCTCTTGTTGCGGATCTCACCCCAACACCTGACATCCCTCTGGCCCATAATGGTCACAGAACTTGTAAGTTACAAGTTTCCAGGAACCAGATTTAATTTATGGTGTCATTGGTGTGTTTCTTGTGATTGTATTAGTTTTTTGTTTTTTATATTTTGTTTTCAGATACGCACTTTTGCACGTTTAGAGAAAGCTCTGCAGGCAGATAAAGACGTCTCAAAGTGAGCAATTTCTTTCACTGATTAAATATTTCATTAATACCTTGATAAAATCTCTCACTTTAAACTCCCACTGTCTTTGCTCATGTACCACCAAGGCTGGCTAAAGTTGTCCGTGGGGCCCTCAACAGAAACGGACCAGTGAACTTCTCTCAGGCTGAGCTGGACATGTACCTGTCAGCCTGCAAGTTTCTGGACACCTCCTTGGCTTTTCCTCCCGAGAAGATGCCACTCTTTCAAATGTAGGATATTAAAGACATGCCTACATGTTGTTGTAATACAGTAGTCTCTCACTTATTGTGTGGGTCGCTTTCCAGACACCCGTGATAGGTATAAATCTGCGAAGTAGGGATGTTATGTTTATTTTATTATTTATATATTTTAAGGCTTTATAAACCCTTCCCACACTATTGCAATGTTCTTAACAATGTTCTAAACTCTCTGAACGCTCTAAAAGAGCACAGCAAAAGAGAGAAAGGCTCAGTTCGAGTCACGCTTAATATTTTAAATAAACAATCCATGCTACTTGTGCGGTTCACTCAGGTATAAGACAGAAACCCCACCCCGCCCCCACCTTTTTTTTTCCGAGACTGTTGTGTGCCTGCCTATTATTTGTCTCTGCGCTGCTGTCTACTGCCTCAGAAAGAGAAAGGAAGGGGCAAAGGGGGTATGTCTTTCACCTGAGAGAGCCGCACTCGTCCACTCTCTGTTCATCTGATCTGATTTCAGTTCAACCTTTATTTACACAGATAAATCACTTGGAGCCTTGAAGACTCTCTTACAAGTGAGAACCTGTTTAGACAGACAAAAAAGTTTGTGACAGTAACATCAGGATTTAGAGGCAAAAAAAAATTCCTAACAGGCTCTCTCTCAATGGCCTATGAGAGATATGAAATTGAAAAAAACACCCCACCCATATAAGCACATGGTGACATTGACATTCCACAGAGGAGGGGAATGGTAAATAGTAAATGGACTGTACTTATATAGCGCCTTTCTATCTTATTTCAAGATACTCAAAGCGCTTTACACTACAATCTGTGTCCTCATTTACCCATTCATACAGCACTCTACTAGATCTCTACAAAGCTAATTGAACAAATCATTCTAATGAGACTAATCAGTGCTTTATCACATTCATACACCGATGGGACACACATCAGAGGCAACGAGGGGTTCAGTGTCTTGCCCAGGAACACTTCGACATGTGACTGCTGGTGGATTCGAACCCCCAACTCTCGCATTGGAGGACGACTGCTCTAACCACTCAGCCACAGCCGCCCCAGACGACAAGGACGATGAACGTGTCCAAGGACGCTCCCAGAGGCACTGTAGGAGTTCTGATAAGAATGGAACAATCAGCCAGTTTCCTCTGGTGAGATTCGTAAACATTCTCAGGGAGTGCCGAGGTTGGCCAAGGTTGACAGCGCCAGTGAGAATCCAAGAGTCCTGAAATTATGACACAATGTTTAGTCAACCGGTTTCCCCCTGATAGGCCCATAAACTTCCTTGGTGGGAAGGAGGGGGCATCGTGTCAGATTTAGAGTCTCCAGGTGAATTGAGATAAGGTGGCCAGCCAAGGGAGCCAAATTCAGGTAAACATTTGTTTTGGAGACGTGCAGAACTTTACTGAATTTTATCTGCCTTGAGTCTTTGCTGGTCTCGCGTAGATTCCGAAACATCCAAATTAAGTGGACACACCACTGGTCCTTGCCTGAGAATATTCCCCAAGATCTGATCCATCTTGCCAGCAAGTCCTAGGGGCCGCAAATGGCCTGCCATTCTCACAAATCACATCCAGTTTATGGTTCAGTTCGCTAAGCAATTGAGTCTGGATGCTCGAGACACAGAGCAAACCATCACATAAGGCCGGCAGCCTGACCAGGGCCAAACTAGCTACAGCCTTCGTCTTTGTATGTTGATAAGCTAGGAACCAGCCGATTCCAAAAAGCAGGAAACCTGTTATCATAAATCCATTTATATATGCATCTTCGACGTCCTCGATCGACAGCAGAGATAGACTCATCACATTCCACTTCCCCAGGACTCAAAGACATATCCAGCTGTGTGCATGTAGTCAGGGCAGTTCGGCTCACCTGAAGCTTGTCTCGTCATTGAGAAATTTTATCAGTTGCGTTGAGAGACCAACTGACCAAATCCATAGCAAAATTATGGTTTGGAATATATGTAGAGAGAGGCTCAGAAGCAGTTTCACAGACAGGACAGAGCAACAAAGCAAGAGGAAAGGAGGAGAAAGGCGTCCGCCCTCGACAAGAGCAAGTGGTGAAGTGTTCATCTCTGCTCCCTGAGCAGTATTGATGGAGAAAGACCGTCTGTCACAGCAGAGCAGACAGATAGCCTCAGAAAGAGAAAGGAGGAGGTGGGTGGCGTCTGCCTTACCCATCACCAATCATGTGTTGTGTAAAATCTTGCGTTGAAAACCAGCGAAAGAGTGAGTCCGCAAAAGTCGAACCGTGAAGTATCGAGGGACTACTGTAGTTCATTTAGTATGGGTATTATTTTCACGAACACCTATCGTTTGTTTGTCTTGCAGGTATCGCTGGGCATTTGTTCCTGAGGTGGATGTGAACCGCTACAGTGGTCCAGAGAGTGCACTGATTGAAGGTGAACAGGAGTGCACGCCACATATTGTCAGAGTACTGGAAGGGATTCAGCAGCGCTATGGGGTATAACACCATATTCATTCCCTCGTAAACGAGCCTGAAATGGTCACTTAAATGGAATTTTAATTTACTTTACTTATTTTACTTTGTTTTATTTAAAAATGGTGCTTCACGTTGTTGTTTCAGGCTCTAAATGAACTGAGTGAGGAATCCTCCACTGAACACTTGGAGTTCCCCCTTCTTACTCAGCGCTCCCTGTCCTCCATCACCCAGCTGCTGCCTTTCCTGCGCACCCTTTGCTGTTCTTTCCAGGCCCCTCCCCCCTCCTGGAGCCAGCCAGATGTCCACTTCCCTGTAGCAGACTACCCAGCAGCCAGCTCGCATGCGGTCATGAGACGGCTGGAGGACATCATTGAAAATGAGTTTTTAGACTCCATGGAAAGTTAAAAACTCAACTTTGTGACCTACAAAAATGCAAGAAAAAACAGAAAATGGGCACAACTAATGATTATCTTGTAATGTGAACTAGCTTAAAAAGAAAACAATTGAAAAGCTGCTTTTTAATGTTTTTAGTACTTCTGTTCTCCTTTTGAGGCTACTCTAGAAAAGCAAAGGGATTCATGAAAGTTACTTATGTTGATTTGTTTTTTTTATCCGAGAAATGTGATATATGGATAATTACTGGAAAACAATCTTTTTCACCAAAGGAGATGTTATTGCACCTTCAAAATTATTCACCTTCTGTTTTTAATATCAATAAATGCAGTCAGATATACCATTTTCAAATATACTCTCCTCAATTGTTTTTAAAAGACATGCACCTTATACTAGTCATTCATTTTCTGACAGTACCGTAAAGAACCTTCTAAGGTTTTGCAAGTAATTTTAGCTTGAACTACTTTCGGGAATCTATATTTTAAAGTTGCATATACCTGTTTGACCCTTAAGATTGTAAAAAATAAACATCTTGTTAGAGATTTAGAATAATTTTGTAACAAGTTTCTGTGGTAAGCTGTTGAATGTTCTTTTGTCTATAATGGGAAAGATCTAAAATATCTGGTGTACCTCAGTATAACACATGCTTACCAGTTTTGGTGTTTTTAAGGGAAATTGGCTTTTCTTTATTATTGTTCCTGGTTAGTTTCTGCAGCTGCTTGGTGTCTTTTTTTCTGCGTATCTGAATGTTTGTGTAACTTATTTGGAATGTATAAAGGACCATGTCCAGTTTTGACACAATGGGGGAAAAATGGACTCAACAATTACTTTGTCAGAAAAATACCTCTTTACCATCCTGTAAAAGGTTCAATGTAATTTCTTAATAAAGAAATAGACTGAGAACCAAACTCATATTTAAGGTAATTTATTTCCAGCTAAGGAGCAGACGTTTGTACATTCCAGCCCACCAAGGAAGCATCATTCATTCATTCAACCTTTATTTAGACCGATAAATCACATTGAGCCTCGAAGACTCATTTACAAGTCAGACCTGTTTAGGCGGACCAATATGTAATGAAAGTGACACGTGTAGGATTTGGAGGCAAAAAAAAAAAATCCTATCAAACTTGACTGAGGAAAAAGACCCTGATGCTGGAAAAAAAAAACACCCTGCACATAGGCACATAGTGACGTAGACATTCTGCAGGGGAGAGGAGACTATAAGAGCGATGATCGTGTCAAGGACACTCCAGAGGCACTGTAAGAGTTCTGATAAGAAAGGTACAATCAGTCAGTTCCCTCTGGTGAGATCCATAAACACTTGTGCCGAGGTCGACCTGGAACAGCGCCAGAGAGAATCCGAGAGTCCTGAAATGATAATGTTTATTCAGTCGGGTCCCTCTGACCGGTCTGCAGACTTCCTCTGTGGGAGGGGAATGGAGGGGGCAGAGCATCAAATTTACAGGGCCTCCAGGCGAGTGGAGATAAGGTGACCTGTCAAGGCCAGCTGGAGAGACGAATTCAAATAAGCAACAATTGTTTTGGGAACAGGCAGAACTTTACAGATTCATGTCTGCCTTGAGTCTTTGCTGGTCCTCTCGAATCCCAAACGACCAAATTAAGTGGACAGATGCAGGCAGTCTGACCAGGGCCAAATTTGCTGCCAATGACTTCCTTGTTTATGATAGACCGGGAACCAGCGGAATCCAAAAAGCAGGAAACCAGTTATAAATCCAACTGTAAATCCTTGGTGCTTGTCTTCTCATCGAAAAAAGTCTGCTTGCCTGAAACTTGTCTTCTCGTCGAGGAAATTTTATCAGTTGCGTTGAGAGACCAATTGACCAGATCCATTGCAAAAAAATTATGGTTCGAACAACAGGAATTATGCATCCTAAAGCTGGGAAGGGCAGTCAGCTGCTTGAAACTGTTTTTACACCTTTATGCATTTCATATGACTGTTTACAGAGGAGCTGGGCTTCTTATCCACTCTTTCTCTTTATGGTAGGATGGATAGGATAAGTGGTCTAAATCTCTTTGGATCTATTATCTTATCTATTACTATATTTCTTTTGGACCTTGTAAATATATTTCTTTTTCACTTTTTGGTACTTTATTTTGTACCCAAAAAAAGTTCAATCTGGTCCTCTGGACATTCAAAAAAAAAAAAAAAAAAAACAAAGCAAAAAAATGTAGAAACGTTTCGTCTCTCATCCGAGAGACTTCCTCAGTCTGAGGAGCTGTTTTCAGCTCAGTCTCTTAAATAGCACCTTCTCAGAGAGTGGATCAACCAGTTTTGCTGCTGACAACCAAAACCAGCTGATCACATGCTCAAGAAGGACCATCAGCCTAACAATGGATCATTAGCACACTGATGGCTGTTTACTACTCACAGAGGGCTGAGTGATACTAGCAATCACAGCATTGTAAGAGGGGGACAGTTGAACCCGGAGGCCTCCACCCCTGTTTAATGATGGACGATTTCTTTTCACAAAGATGGCCTCCTTTACTCCTCTCTCAAACCATCGTTCCTCTCTATCCAGGATGTGAACATCTTCATCCCTGAAAGAGTGACCGCTGGCCTGGAGATGAGTGTAGACCGCAGAGTCCTGGCCTGATGATGTTGATCTTCTGTGCTGGGCCATCATTTTGGCCAGTGGCTGTTTAGTTTCCCCGATGTAAGACTGATCACCCTCCTGACACTGAACAGCATACACAACATTACTCTGTTTGTGCCGGGGGACTGGATCTTTGGGATGAACCAGTCTTTGCCGTAATGTATTTTGGGGTTTAAAAGCCACTGGGACGTTATAAATAAACGTCTCAGTTTCTCTGATACTCCCTCAACATATGGAATGACCACTGGTCTGGGTCTGGGTTCCTCCTTTTCACCTGATGGCTGACTGGAGTCCTGTTTGGGTTTCTTCTCTGTTTCAGGAAGGCCCAGTTAGGATATCCACATTGCTCTAGAGCAGGGGTGGGCAATTATTTTTTCCATGGGGCCACATGAGAAACAACAAATATTGTGGAGGGCTGGCACAAATGACTTTTTCATTCAACCTTTATTTAGACAGGTAAATCCCATTGAGCCTTGAGGACTCATTTACAAGAGAGACCTGATTTCAACTTAACTCAATACTGCATAATATTAATAGTATTTCATTATTAAAAGCAGTACATAGCACTGTTTTAACAAGCTGGTAAGAGTATTTGTTATGATTAAGCAACGAAAAAGCGAGGTTTCCTTACAAAAAATGTCATTTATTTAATTAAATTTCCCAGTACAATGGTAAACTGTTAACATTTTTACCATTTGTGATGTTATATTAATGATCATTTTCAGTCACATTCACCCCAAAACTCATTTTGAGTTTTATATACGGCTGGAAAAAGTTCTGAGCTTTGTAAATATATCACAATATTGTCTTTGTACTCCAAATATTATGAAACATCATATAATAGTGATCGTCACTGAACTGTGATTTCGAGTCCTGGTTCTTTACGTGCCTACATTTGTTTTCTAAACATCTCATTTGGTGTTTTTCAGTTCTTTTTTCTTGTTTAGTGTGAGAAGTCTAGTCTCTGTTGGGCTTTAACGGAAATGTTAAAGTCAGGTTGAAGGTCTGAGGTGGAGATGTGAAGCAAAGCTGACATCATCATTGAGAGAGGATCTATATCTGGATTTGGTTAACTTCATTTGTTTACATATGTATTTTGTAATTCCCCTTACGGGGGCCGGTCAGAGTCAACCAAAGGGCCGCATGTGGCCCTGGGGCCGTACAACGCCCAGGTCTGCTCTAGAGCCTGTTTTGTGTAGGATTTCTCCTTCTGCCTGGCTCCCGAGTTAGTGGGGATGCTGTCTGCTCTGTGATACAGAGTCCTGATGACTCCTAACTTGTGCTCCAAAGGGTGATGGGAGTCAAACTGCAAATACTGGTCTGTGTCATCACCCATTGGAGCACAAGTTAGGAGTCACTGATACTGTAGTGAGACACGTGAGGTACGTGTCACTTGTTGTATGACAAATATATGGATATATATTTATGCATACTTTTCACGAGTTCTTCATTTTTCTGACTGTAAATGTCGTGCATTGAATTTAACAGAAATGTGAACGAGAGACGTTATTTATCTTTGACCCATCAAATGAATGGAATCATTTATTTTCAAAATCAAAGTTTAACATCAAACATTTACATTAATTTGGCAAAATATGAAAATAATAACAGACAGTTTCACAGAAAATGAACTTCAAATCACTCGGCGGTGATTTGAGGACTTTGCTTCAGACATTTCTAAAAATATCTGTACTGTTTTATGAGAGAGAGGTGAGTTTAAGAGTAAATTGAGATTTATCTTACAGAGGAATATGTGAGGGAGATTTAATCTGTTTAACCAGAAGTTGCACGCTCCGTCCGATCTCAGCTTCTCACGGTACACTTGGTCAAAATAGAACCATCTACCTGTTGACGATGAATCAGCGTTGGATGTAGTTCCTTTCTGACTCGTTTCAGCGTCTCCGTCGAGAGCTACCAAACCTTCAGAAAGTCGTGCGTTGATTAGCTCAAAACAGAATTATAATCCCCAAAAAACCTCTGGATTCTTCATTGCTCTGAAGCTTTCAGAACCGACTGCATTCTCAATCTTCTCATTCTGTTAGACTATCGGACCTGTTGTCAGCTCCCAATCCAACATCTCTCAGAACTCTCAATCTAACTTGAACTGGGGAGTTGCCACATTTTATTTGGGTCGACTTCCTGTTCAATTTAGAGCTTTCTGATTCGTGGAAGGACCAGAAAGAGGAGTGGATTTGTGACGTAAGATGTTATCATAAGTCAAGGATTGTTTACAACATACAGAAAAGATTATTGCAGAAGCAGCAGACTTTTTGGAGTCTACTCTTAGTAATCTTCTGAAAAAGTTTAAACATGACATTTCTTCTTCAGTAAACATTTTAGTTGACCGAAGACCAACCTTTAACATACTTACGACAGCTTGCTCATTTCAGACATAAAATCAAGAAAGGCATATTCAGGTGATTTCTTCTCTGAATGAGGAACAAAAATCATTACTTACTGTTTATGTAAAAATAAAAATTAGTAGTTCTTTTCAACCTGTAAAGCATTGAGTGAACTAACACAATTTGATTATCAAAACATTTGTAAGACAGTAATGATTATAAAGAATTGTCTTTTCTGCTTGATTAATTCAAGAAAGAAAGTTCATCAGATGGTTCAGACTTATTCAGATCAATGAAAATAACAGTCTCTGTCCATCTGGTAGATTTGAGGTTATCTGGTTCACTACAGTCCCCCCTTTGGAAATCATCACCTGTCCATGGGGATGAATTCCAACCGTGAACTTAGACCTTCAAATGTCCTTGAGCTTGATGTAATCCAGCAAGGAAGACCAAAGTCAGAAGTAATCCTTCAAGGAAGACTAAAGTCAGAAGTAATCCAGCAAGGAAACAAAGTCAAGGTAATTCCACAATGTTCTTGGTATTCCATTGTGTTGATTATAATCCCATATCGTCTCGATAATCCCATTGTAGCAATGCCTTAACCCCTTGGAAACAGAGTCTGTAATCCATTGGAAAAAGTCATATACTCCACAACGGTAAATCCACAGCGATTGGAAGTGTTGATTAATCAGCATACAGAGGGGTACCCTTGGATTGAACTGAAGAAGCGGCCACTGGATGAAGAGTTGAGACCAACGTCAGGATTGCAGGTCGCCTCCAGCGAAGGTTGTCTCCAGCGACGTCCAGCCTGTGCCGTTCTGGTTCAATGTGTCATGCAATTATGTGGTTTAAGGTGGGCTTATGAAGGGGATTTTACATAAGGCCTTAAACTATATGCATCTGGTGTGTAAGCTATTATGGTTGGGAATAGCTACAACTACCAGTTAAGGGGTGGAGAATGCTGAAAAGGGGTA